GTTTGGGGCAAGTGCTGTGAGCGGGCTCCTCTGACGAGCTGGGAGATGTTGACGACCTCGCCTGGTACGCAGGAGGTCGCGGGCTCCATCCCGGACCTTGACCTCGCCTGGTACGCAGGAGGTCGTGGGCTCCATCCCGGACCCTGACCTCGCCTGGTACGCAGGAGGTCGTGGGCTCCATCCAGGACCCTGACCACGCCTGGTACGCAGGAGGTCGTGGGTTCCATCCCGGACCCTGACCTCGCCTGGTACGCAGGAGGTCGTGGGTTCCATCCAGGACCCTGACCACGCCTGGTACGCAGGAGGTCGTGGGTTCCATCCCGGACCCTGACCTCGCCTGGTACGCAGGAGGTCGTGGGTTCCATCCAGGACCCTGACCACGCCTGGTACGCAGGAGGTCGTGGGTTCCATCCAGGACCCTGACCTCGCCTGGTACGCAGGAGGTCGTGGGTTCCATCCCGGACCCTGACCACGCCTGGTACGCAGGAGGTCGTGGGCTCCATCCAGAACCCTGACCTCGCCTGGTACGCAGGAGGTCGTGGGTTCCATCCAGGACCCTGACCACGCCTGCTGCTATTTGGAGTTTGCGTCTCTCTCATCATCATCACGGTGACACACACGTACACGTGTACATACACACGTGTATACACACACACACACGTGTACACACACACACGTGTATACACACACACACGTGTACACACACACACGTGTATATACACACACACACGTGTACACACACACACGTGTATATACACACACACACGTGTACACACACACACGTGGACACACGTACACGCGGACACACACACGAGTACACACACACACGTGTACGTACACACGTGTACATACACGTGTGTGTACACACACAGGTGTGTACACACATGTGTACACACACACACGTGTACACACGCACACGTGTACACACATTTGTGTGTACACACACGTGTACACACGTACAGGTGTGTACACACACACGTGTACACACGTACACGTGGACACACGTGTGTGTGTATACACACGTGTATACACACACACGTGTGTACACACACACACTGTGTACACACACACACGTGTACACACACACACTGTGTACACACACACACACTGTGTACACACACACACTGTGTACACACACACACACTGTGTACACACACGTGTACATACACACACGTGTACATACACACACACACGTGTGTACACACACACACAGCGAGTGACACGAGGCATGTCGACTCCCCAGTGCGACTCTTTATTGAGCGCGACGCTGGGGACTCATCCCACACCCGTCTGGACAGCTCCCTCCAACCCCTCTCCAGGGTCATCATCAGCAGCAGCAGTGCATCACCGCTCACCAGGCTCATCAGCAGTGCCTCACCACCCGCTCACCATGGGTCATCATCAGCAGTGCCTCACCACCCGCTCACCAGAGTCATCATCAGCAGTGCATCACCGCTCCGCTCACCAGTCATCATCAGCAGTGCATCACCGCTCCGCTCACCAGAGTCATCATCAGCAGTGCATCACCGCTCCGCCTACCGTTTGGCGGTTCACATCTCGTCTAGGAACGAGCTTTCTAACATCCTCACCCCTACACACTCACCACCCCTACACACTCACCACCCCTACACACTCACCACCCCTACACACTCACCACCCCTACACACTCACCACCCCTACACACTCACCACCCCTACACACTCACCACCCCTACACACTCACCACCCCTACACACTCACCACCCCTACACACTCACCACCCCTACACACTCACCTCTATACCCAGAAACACTCAAAACGCCATCAGCCCAAAACACTGGGTGTCTCTGTGGGTCTCTGTCTCTATGATCTGTGGGTCTCTGTGGGTCTCTGTGGGTCTCTGTGGGTCTCTGTCTCTATGATCTGTGGGTCTCTGTGGGTCTCTGTCTCTATGATCTGTGGGTCTCTGTGGGTCTCTGTCTCTATGATCTGTGGGTCTCTGTGGGTCTCTGTCTCTATGATCTGTGGGTCTCTGTGGGTCTCTGTCTCTATGATCTGTGGGTCTCTGTGGGTCTCTGTCTCTATGATCTGTGGGTCTCTGTGGGTCTCTGTGGGTCTCTGTGGGTCTCTGCATCTGTATGATCTGTCCACGTGGTGATGGTGATGAAGCCACTGCCACGTGGTTGAGCTGCTCTAGTTTGTGATGCCATCAGGGGCGTCGCTTCTGATTTAGAGCGACTACGACAGAGGAGCTCAGCGGGGACTTACAGCTGCTGACAAATAAAAACATTATCCACAATCGAGTGTGCTTTTGGGTGAGATCGCGTAAATATATACATTGTGTTCAACACGATACCACCTACACAGCCAATTTGTAAGAGGTCGTCACATGAACAGAACGTGGCAATTCGTTACTAGTACAGCACTAACCGGTTGCTGTGTTGGAGAGTTAAACCCACTACAACATTTACAATTCGTTACTAGTACAGCACTAACCGGTTGCTGTATGTTGGAGAGTTAAACCCACTACAACATTAACAATTCGTTACTAGTACAGCACTAACCGGTTGCTGTGTGTTGGAGAGTTAAACCCACTACTACATTTACAATTCGTTACTAGTACAGCACTAACCGGTTGCTGTATGTTGGAGAGTTAAACCCACTACAACATTAACAATTCGTTACTAGTACATCACTAACCGGTTGCTCTGTGTTGGAGAGTTAAACCCACTACTACATTTACAATTCGTTAAAAGTACAGCACTAACCGGTTGCTGTGTGTTGGAGAGTTAAACCCACTACAACATTTACAATTCGTTACTAATACAGCACTAACCGGTTGCTGTGAGTTGGAGAGTTAAACCCACTACAACATTTACAATTATAGTGTATGGTGGTGTAGCGTAGTGATGTAGTGTATAGTGTAGTTTACTAATACAGAACTGAACGGTTGTGTGTTGGACAATAAATCCACAACATTTACAGTAATAGTGTAGTGTATAGAAGTGTAGTGGTGTAGTGTATAGAAGTGTCGTGTCTAGTAGTGTAGTGTATAGTGTAGTGTATAGAAGTGTAGTGTATAGTGTAGTGTGTATAGTGTAGTGTGTATAGTGTGTAGTGTAGTGTGTAGTGTATATAGTGTGTAGTGTATATAGTGTGTAGTGTATATAGTGTAGTGTATAGTGTAGTATACTAGTTCAGCATTACACCACCAGCAACATCGCTTCTCGAGTTCCCATGACGTTCCGCCAGTTAATTACAACAGCAGCCATCATCAGCATCATCACCATCAGCGCCATCATCACCATCAGCACCATGAGGATCATCAAGCGGGCAGCCACAGAGTTACGGAGAGATCCTCCTGCTGCTGCTGCTCCGCCTCCTGCTGCTGCTACTGCTGCTACTGCGTCGGTCTTGAATGGGCGCGGTGTGGGTGGTTGTGGTGGTACTGGATGTGTGAGGGTGGTGGTGGTGGATGTGTGAGGGTGGTGGTGGATGTGTGAGGGTGGTGGTGGATGTGTGAGGGTGGTGGTGGTGGATGTGTGAGGGTGGTGGTGGATGTGTGGGGGTGGTGGTGGTGGATGTGTGAGGGTGGTGGTGGATGTGTGAGGGTGGTGGTGGATGTGTGAGGGTGGTGGTGGATGTGTGGGGGTGGTAGTGGTGGATGTGTGGGGGTTGTGGTGGTGGATGTGTGGGGGTGGTGGTGGATGTGTGAGGGTGGTGGTGGATGTGTGAGGGTGGTGGTGGTGGATGTGTGAGGGTGGTGGTGGTGGATGTGTGAGGGTGGTGGTGGTGGATGTGTGAGGGTGGTGGATGTGTGAAGGTGGTGGTGGTGGATGTGTGAGGGTGGTGGTGGTGGATGTGTGAAGGTGGTGGTGGTGGATGTGTGAGGGTGGTGGTGGTGGATGTGTGAGGGTGGTGGTGGTGGATGTGTGAGGGTGGTGGTGGTGGATGTGTGAGGGTGGTGGTGGTGGATGTGTGAGGGTGGTGGTGGTGGATGTGTGAGGGTGGTGGTGGTGGATGTGTGAGGGTGGTGGTGGTGGATGTGTGGGGGTGGTGGTGATGGATGTGTGAGGGTGGTGGTGGATGTGTGAAGGTGGTGGTGGATGTGTGAGGGTGGTGGTGGTGGATGTGTGAGGGTGGTGGTGGATGTGTGAGGGTGGTGGTGGATGTGTGAGGGTGGTGGTGGATGTGTGAGGGTGGTGGTGGATGTGTGAGGGTGGTGGTGGTGGATGTGTGGGGGTGGTGGTGGTGGATGTGTGGTGGTGGTGGTGGATGTGTGAGGGTGGTGGTGGTGGATGTGTGGGGGTGGTGGTGGTGGTGGATGTGTGGTGGTGGTGGTGGATGTGTGAGGGTGGTGGTGGATGTGTGAGGGTGGTGGTGGATGTGTGAGGGTGGTGGTGGATGTGTGAGGGTGGTGGTGGATGTGTGAGGGTGGTGGTGGTGGATGTGTGAGGGTGGTGGCGGATGTGTGAGGGTGGTGGTGGTGGATGTGTGGGGGTGGTGGTGGATGTGTGGGGGTGGTGGTGGTGGATGTGTGAGGGTGGTGGTGGATGTGTGAGGGTGGTGGTGGTGGATGTGTGGGGGTGGTGGTGGATGTGTGGGGGTGGTGGTGGTGGATGTGTGAGGGTGGTGGTGGATGTGTGAGGGTGGTGGTGGTGGATGTGTGAGGGTGGTGGTGGATGTGTGAGGGTGGTGGTGGATGTGAGGGTGGTGGTGGTGGATGTGTGAAGGTGGTGGTGGATGTGTGGTGGTGGTGGATGTGTGGGGGTGGTGGTGAAGTCGTCATTCTTGGGGGGGCGATGTTGGCCATGGGGGGGGGGGGGTCCATGAGCAGGCGAGGGGAGACAGCGCCTCGACCCACACACGGCGGGGGCTGCGTGAACCCCCGACACACACCACTGACCCCCCCATGCCCCCCACTGACCCCCCATTGACCCCCCACTGACCCCGCCCCATGCCCCCCACTGACCCAGCCTCCCCCATGGCCCCCACTGACCCCGCCCCCCCCATGCCCCCCACTGACCCCACCCCCCTACATGGCCCCCACGCTGCCCAGGTTCACCTCCTGCTTGTACCTGCGCGTGAGTGCGCGCGCCAGCTGCGTCATCTCGTGCAGGGCCACGTGCAGGCCGGTCACGTGCAGGCGGAACCTCTGTTCCACATCATCATCATCACCACCATCATCATCAACCTCATCATCATCATCACCACCATCACCACCACCATCAATCTCCTGCGCCATGAGCACGTCCAGAGTCGTCTTCAATGGCAATCCTCCCACACTGGAGCCTCCATTCTGCTGCTGCTGATTTACAGCAACGACGACATTGTTGTTGTTGTTGTTGACGACCTGTTGTTGTTGTTGTTGGCGTTTCTGCTGCTGCTGCCTCTTCTTCTTGTCGCGATGCCCTCCGCCACCCGACGCGCCGCCGGTGCCCGCCGAGGGCGGCAGCGCCCCCCACTCGATCTGAGAGCGAACGCTCTTGAGCTGGGCGTACAGGGCGAACAAGTCGCGCTCGTCTGTCGACAACGACGAGGTGGCGGAGTCGCTCGCGTGCCGCGCCGGGAGGTCGCGCAGCAGGCTGGGCACCATCACAGTGCCGTCCATCTCGCCCACGGCCGACACGAAGCGCTCCATGGCCTCGAACAGAGACTGTCGCCTGTGCATCTCGGATCAGTTGCCGACGACACCACCGACACCGCCGCTCCCAGAAAGTTGCGTCGAAGTCGCTGGGATCCCCGTGGGCAGCAGCAGCAGCAACACGAGGAGGAGTCGCCGCTTGGGAGTGGCCCGCAAGTCGCCCCCGGTGGGAGTTGGTGCGGGGGAAGTCGCCCAATCAAAGTCGCCCCCACAAGTCGCTTGGTGGGATTTCGTGCCGACGAGTCGCCCAATCAAAGTCGCCCCCACAAGTCGCTTTGGTGGGATTTCGTGCCGACGAGTCGCTTGAAAGTCGCCCCCACAAAGTCGCTTGGGTGGGATTTCGTGCCGACGAGTCGCTTTGAAAGTTGTCCACAAGTCGCTTTGGTGGGATTTCGTGCCGACGAGTCGCTTTGAAAGTCGTCCACAAGTCGCTTTGGTGGGATTTCGTGCGGATGAGTCGCTTGAAAGTCGCCCCCACAAATCGCTTGGGTGGGATTTCGTGCCGACGAGTCGCTTGCAAGTCGCCCCCACAAGTCGCTTTGGTGGGATTTCGTGCGGATGAGTCGCTTTGAAAGTCGCCCACACAAGTCGCTTTGGTGGGATTTCGTGCGGACGAGTCGCTTTGAAAGTTGTCCACAAGTCGCTTTGGTGGGATTTCGTGCGGACGAGTCGCTTTGAAAGTCGCCCACACAAGTCGCTTTGGTGGGATTTCGTGCCGACGAGTCGCTTTGAAAGTTGCCCACAAGTCGCTTTGGTGGGATTTCGTGCGGATGAGTCGCTTGAAAGTCGCCCACACAAGTCGCTTTGGTGGGATTTCGTGCGGACGAGTCGCCCAATCAAAGTCGCCCCCACAAAGTCGCTTTGGTGGGATTTTGTGCGGACGAGTCGCTTTGAAAGTTGCCCGGAAGTCGCTTTGGTGGGCGTTGCTTGGACGCGAAGTCGGTCTTGAAAGTTGCCTGAAGTTCGTTGTCCGGGAGTTGCTCGCAGGTTTTGCTGCTGGCGAGAGAGTAAACCAGACTCCACACGCAGTCGCCTTGCTCACAACTGTTGCGGAAGTCGCCTGTACGAGTCGCCTGTGGAAGTCGCCTGTACGAGTCGCCTGTACGAGTCGCCTGTACGAGTCGCCTGTACGAGTCGCCACTGACAGTCGCCTGTACGAGTCGCCTGTACGAGTCGCCACTGACAGTCGCCTGTACGAGTCGCCACTGACAGTCGCCTGTACGAGTCGCCACTGACAGTCGCCTGCGGAAGTCGCCACTGACAGTCGCCTCCGGAAGTCGCCACTGACAGTCGCCTGTACGAGTCGCCACTGACAGTCGCCTGTACGAGTCGCCACTGACAGTCGCCTCCGGAAGTCGCCACTGACAGTCGCCTGTACGAGTCGCCACTGACAGTCGCCTGTACGAGTCGCCACTGACAGTCGCCTGTGGAAGTCGCCACTGACAGTCGCCTGTGCGAGTCGCTACTGACAGTCGCCTGTACGAGTCGCCACTGACAGTCGCCTGTACGAGTCGCTACTGACAGTCGCCTGTACGAGTCGCCACTGACAGTCGCCTGTACGAGTCGCCACTGACAGTCGCCTGTACAAGTCGCCACTGACAGTCGCCTGTGCGGAAGTCGCCACTGACAGTCGCCTGTACGAGTCGCCACTGACAGTCGCCACTGACAGTCGCCACTGACAGTCGCCACTGACAGTCGCCTGTCCGAGTCGCCACTGACAGTCGCCGTCCACGCTTATTAATGGGCCGACTACAGCCACCGCCCTGCTATTTATACCCCCGCGGTTGCCCCTGGCAACGAAGGGCGGGGTGCGGTGGGGGGGTGTGGGGCTCTTCCCCCCCCGTTGCTTCCGGTAAGGGTGGGGGGCTACTCGAGGTCATTGACACGTCGGAGGGGGGGAAGGCGCAGCGCGAAGGCGCCATCCCATTGGTGGAGCTGCGGATTATGGGGGGAGGGGGCACAACGAACCCCTCGGCGAGGGACCAATGGAAGCACGCCAAGCGGTGCGCGCGCGAGCCCGGCGCCACCCTCACGCGTACAGCCCCGCCCCCCAGCCCCGAACTCCCTCACACACCCAGCCCCGCCCCTCCCCCTATCCAACCAATTAGAAACCCTGACGCCCAGCCCCGCCCCTCGGACGCCCAACCCGGTCCCTCAGACAGCCCAGCCCCGCCCCTCAGACAGCCCAGCCCCGCCCCTCAGACAGCCCCGCCCAGATCTTCGTGTGTCGGGTCGCGGTCACGTGGTGATGGTGGTGAGTTCATAGTTCAAAGTTACATTTATGTTGGTATAGCTCTGTGAGACATTCGGCTCTTGAATCGAGTGCAAGCGCAACAAACAATAAAACAAAAACGCGAACAAGAAAAACATCTTAAAGTGACTTTGTGTGACTGTGCAAACAGAAAATCCAGGGAAAAAACCATCAAAATATTCCTGAAGAAAACACCGTACACCAACGCTCTGTGCAAAAACTCCCAGTGGGATGCAAGTCCAACAACAACCACCACCACAAGACAACTAAGATTAAAGCCATCAGTCTAACTCCGTACTACAACAAAACAAACATGGCCAACCCAAAAAACTTTTCCAAATCACCAAAAAAATAAACCCATAATTGCAACGTAACAGTGATCATTGGGACTGTGACCGAATTTTTACAATAAACTACATAAATAACATGTAACACCAAACCCTAGAGCCATAGCCGGCTGAATGAGTCACTCCACAAACAACAGGAGCATCAGTCGGAGTATCAATTTTTTCAATGCACCTTTAAGATCAGCACACTAGTAGTGGTGGTGATGGTAGTGGTGATGATTGTGGTGATGGTAGTGGTGGTGATGGTAGTGGTGGTGATGGTAGTGGTGGTGATGGCAGTGGTGGTGATGGTAGTGGTGATGGTAGTGGTGGTGGTGATGGTAGTGGTGATGGTAGTGGTGGTGATGGTAGTGGTGGTGATGGTAGTGGTGATGATTGTGGTGATGGTAGTGGTGATGGTAGTGGTGGTGATGGTAGTGGTGGTGATGGTAGTGGTGATGATTATGGTGATGGAGTAATGATGGTAGTAATGATGGTAGTAGTGGTGGTGATGGTAGTGGTGGTAGTAGTGGTGGTAGTAATGATGGTAGTAATGATGGTAGTAGTGGTGGTGATGGTAGTGGTGGTGATGGTAGTGGTGGTAGTAGTGGTGGTGATGGTAGTGGTGGTGATGGTAGTGGTGGTAGTAGTGGTGGTGATGGTAGTGGTGGTGGTGATGGTAGTGGTGATGGTAGTGGTGATGGTAGTAGTTGTGGTGATGGTAGTGGTGGTAGTAGTAGTGGTGATAGTAGTGGTGGAGATGGTAGTGGTGGTAATGTTAGTGGTGGTGATGGTAGTGGTGATTTTATTGGTGATGGTAGTGGTGATGATTGCGGTGATGGTAGTGGTGATGGTAGTAGTGGTGGTGATGGTAGTGGTGATGGTAGTAGTGGTGGTGATGGTAGTGTTGGTAGTGGTGATGGTAGTGGTGATGATTGTGGTGATGGTAGTGGTGATGGTAGTGGTGGTGATGGTAGTGGTGGTGATGGTAGTGGTGATGATTATGGTGATGGAGTAATGATGGTAGTAATGATGGTAGTAGTGGTGGTGATGGTAGTGGTGGTAGTAGTGGTGGTAGTAATGATGGTAGTAATGATGGTAGTAGTGGTGGTGATGGTAGTGGTGGTAGTAGTGGTGGTGATGGTAGTGGTGGTGATGGTAGTGGTGGTAGTAGTGGTGGTGATGGTAGTGGTGGTGATGGTAGTGGTGGTAGTAGTGGTGGTGATGGTAGTGGTGGTGGTGATGGTAGTGGTGGTGGTGATGGTAGTGGTGATGGTAGTAGTGGTGGTGATGGTAGTGGTGGTAGTAGTAGTGGTGATAGTAGTGGTGGAGATGGTAGTGGTGGTGATGTTAGTGGTGGTGATGGTAGTGGTGATTTTATTGGTGATGGTAGTGGTGATGATTGCGGTGATGGTAGTGGTGATGGTAGTAGTGGTGGTGATGGTAGTGGTGATGGTAGTAGTGGTGGTGATGGTAGTGGTGGTGGTAGTGGTGGTAGTAGTGGTGGTGATGGTAGTGGTGATGGTAGTGGTGGTGGTGATGGTAGTGGTGGTGGAGGAGGCTCGTGAAGGACGCTGCTGATGCTACTGGGCAGTTGAAGGCAGTCGCACTCCAGCAACAGCGGAGGGCAGAGGGAGCGATGCTCACAACAACGAGCGGAGCGCAGGGCGGATAAAATGCAGCGAGTTGGCCTAGTGGGGGACACTGCACCTAGCCTGGCACAGCAGTCAACCCATGGCACCTGGAGTCCTGTCCCGTGACCTGTCAGCCGCGAGCCTTCAACACTTCACTTGATAGGCCTCCTAGTGCACCTAGCTTGGCACAAGTGCCGTGGTGATGTCACCACTACTTAGTGAGTGGACTAATCTCCATCTGTTCCATCTCACTTCCTCCGACAGCAGTGTGTGGACGAATCTCCATCTGTTCCATCTATATCCCTCCTAAAGCAGTGTGTAGACTAATCTCCATCTGTGTTGAGTCTATGGGCAGTGTTGAGTCTATGAGTAGTGTTGAGTCTATGGGCAGTGTTGAGTCTATGGGCAGTGTTGAGGCTATGGGCAATGTTGAGTCTACGCGTAGTGTTGAGTCTATAGTGCAGTGTTGACTCTATGGGCGGTGTTGAGTCTACGGGTATTGTTGAGTCTATGGGCAGTGGTGAGTCTATGGGTAGTGTTGAGTCTATGGGCAGTGTTGAGTCTATGGGCAGTGTTGAGTCTATAGGCAGTGTTGAGTCTATGGGTAGTGTTGAGTCTATGGGGAGTGTTGAGTCTATGGACAGTGTTGAGTCTATGGGCAGTGGTGAGTCTATGGGCAGTGTTGAGTCTATGGCAGTGTTGAGTCTATGGGTAGTGTTGAGTCTATAGGCAGTGTTGAGTCTATGGGCAGTGTTGAGTCTATGGGCAGTGTTGAGGCTATGGGCAATGTTGAGTCTATGGGCAGTGTTGAGTCTATTGTGCAGTGTTGAGTCTATGGTGCAGTGTTGAGTCTATGGGCAGTGTTGAGTTTCTGGTGCAGTGTTGAGTCTTTGGGCAGTGTTGAGTCTATGGTCAGTGTTGAGTCTACGGACAGTGTTGAGTCTGTGGTGCAGTGTTGAGTCTATGGGCAGTGTTGAGTCTACGGGCAGTGTTGAGTCTATGGGCAGTGTTGTCTATGGTAGTGTTGAGTCTATAGGCAGTGTTGAGTATACGGGCAGTGTTGAGTCTACGGGCAGTGTTGAGTCTATAGGCAGTGTTGAGTCTATGGGTAGTGTTGAGTCTATGGGCAGTGCTGAGTCTATGGTGCAGTGTTGAGTCTACGGGCAGTGTTGAGTCTACGGGCAGTGGCGAGTCTATGGGCAGTGGTGAGTCTATGGGCAGTGTTGAGTCTATGGGCAGTGTTGAGTCTATGGGCAGTGTTGAGGCTATGGGCAATGTTGAGTCTACGCGTAGTGTTGAGTCTATAGTGCAGTGTTGACTCTATGGGCGGTGTTGAGTCTACGGGTATTGTTGAGTCTATGGGCAGTGGTGAGTCTATGGGTAGTGTTGAGTCTATGGGCAGTGTTGAGTCTATGGGCAGTGTTGAGTCTATAGGCAGTGTTGAGTCTATGGGTAGTGTTGAGTCTATGGGGAGTGTTGAGTCTATGGACAGTGTTGAGTCTATGGGCAGTGGTGAGTCTATGGGCAGTGTTGAGTCTATGGGCAGTGTTGAGTCTATGGGTAGTGTTGAGTCTATAGGCAGTGTTGAGTCTATAGGCAGTGTTGAGTCTATGGGCAGTGTTGAGGCTATGGGCAATGTTGAGTCTATGGGTAGTGTTGAGTCTATGGGCAGTGGTGAGTCTATGGGTAGTGTTGAGTCTATGGGCAGTGTTGAGTCTATGATGCAGTGTTGAGTCTATGGGCAGTGTTGAGTCTATGGGCAGTGTTGAGTCTACGGACAGTGTTGAGTCTACAGGCAGTGTTGAGTCTATGGGCAGTGTTGAGTCTACGGGCAGTGCTGAGTCTATGGGCAGTGTTGTCTATGGTAGTGTTGAGTCTATAGGCAGTGTTGAGTATACGGGCAGTGTTGAGTCTACGGGCAGTGTTGAGTCTATAGGCAGTGTTGAGTCTATGGGTAGTGTTGAGTCTATGGGCAGTGCTGAGTCTATGGTGCAGTGTTGAGTCTACGGGCAGTGTTGAGTCTATGGGTAGTGTTGAGTCTATGGGGAGTGTTGAGTCTATGGACAGTGTTGAGTCTATGGGCAGTGGTGAGTCTATGGGCAGTGTTGAGTCTATGGGCAGTGTTGAGTCTATGGGTAGTGTTGAGTCTATAGGCAGTGTTGAGTCTATAGGCAGTGTTGAGTCTATGGGCAGTGTTGAGGCTATGGGCAATGTTGAGTCTATGGGTAGTGTTGAGTCTATGGGCAGTGGTGAGTCTATGGGTAGTGTTGAGTCTATGGGCAGTGTTGAGTCTATGGTGCAGTGTTGAGTCTATGGGCAGTGTTGAGTCTATGGGCAGTGTTGAGTCTACGGACAGTGTTGAGTCTACAGGCAGTGTTGAGTCTATGGGCAGTGTTGAGTCTACGGGCAGTGCTGAGTCTATGGGCAGTGTTGTCTATGGTAGTGTTGAGTCTATAGGCAGTGTTGAGTATACGGGCAGTGTTGAGTCTACGGGCAGTGTTGAGTCTATAGGCAGTGTTGAGTCTATGGGTAGTGTTGAGTCTATGGGCAGTGCTGAGTCTATGGTGCAGTGTTGAGTCTACGGGCAGTGTTGAGTCTACGGGCAGTGGCGAGTCTATGGGCAGTGGTGAGTCTATGGGCAGTGTTGAGTCTATGGGCAGTGTTGAGTCTATGATGCAGTGGTGAGTCTATGGGCAGTGGTGAGTCTATGG